TGAAGTAAGTCAGAACGAGAAAGACAAATACCATATGATGTCACTTATATGTGGAATCTAAAATGTGACACAAATGAACTTATCTACAAAACAAACAGACTCACAGACATAGAGGACAGACTTGTGGTTGCCAAGGGGGAGGGGGGAATGAGGGAAGGATAGATTGGGAGTTAGGGATTAACAGATGCAAACTATTATACATAGTATGGATAAACAACAAGGTCCTACTGTCTAGCACTGGGAACTATATTCAATATCCTGTGATAAACCATAATGGGAAAGAATATGAAAAAGAATGTGTGTGTGTACATATATATATACATATATATATATATGGAAAACTGAATCACTTTGCTGTATAGTAGAAATTAACATTGTAAATCAACTATACATCAATAAAATAAATTAAAAAAAAATCTTTCCCAAGCTTCAGTACTTAAAACATGGGGGCCTGCCCGCCCCAGCCTGCCCCCCACATTCCTGTGGCTTTTGACTGGCAGTCCCCAAGCATATGACTGACAGTCCCCGAGAATATAACTAGTAGTCCCTATGACATAGCCCAGGCCAGGGTGATCAGTGGGCAAGGCAGAGGGTCAGAAGTACACTAGTAGGGGAAATGGAACATTCTGGTGTAGACTGGAAATGGGTCTTCAGAGGGAAGTTCATCCTGGTGTGGGTGAACTTCCTGGTGTATGATTTTGGATACTATTGCAGAGAAACAACAGCAACCTGGATGTCAGCCACCCACTCCATCCTGCCAGCTCCTCCCCTCAGATCTGATGGGTCACAGTGACCTGTCTCACCCCCAGCTCTTGACAGCAGACCTTCAGACAAACCAGGCAAAAGCTGGGTGCCCCAGGAAAGCCAGTGACATTCAGCTGACACCTGAGGCTGCAACTAGCGGACTAGATCCTTCTATAGTGATGCTGCCTCCTGAGGGTCATGGTTTGGGAAGAGCACAGGCAGCCAACAAGAGGAGGATTACAGAGACAACAGGACGTGGCAGACGGGGAGAGCCAGGGATCCAAGAGGGTCCCAGGTCATCCGCTGAGATCTTGCATGTCGAGAGCTGGTCCTTTGTGTGATGCAAAGGACAGGTGGTGGTCCAGGGCCTGAACAAACAGCCCCCTCAACACACACACACACACACACACACACACACACACACACAGCTCCACTGAGCTTTGCATAAGTTGGTCAACCTTTCAGTTAAAAATAAACCGCTAACAGACAAAACAAAACAAATAACAACAAAAATCACTAACCCTGGGACTAGCCTGGTGGTCCAGTGGGTAAGACTCCGCGCTCCCAATGCAGGGGGCCCGGGTTCAATCCTGGTCGGGGAACTAGATCCTGCATGCTGCAACTAAGAGTCCGCATGCTTCAACTAAGATCCCGAGTGCCACAACTAAGACCCCGCACAGCCAAAATAAATAAATAAATAAATAAATAAAATTTTCTTTTAAATTACTAACCCTTTCCTTGCAGTTGACTGTGTTCCCTCCAGAGGAAAAAAAAAAAAAAGAAGAAACTTGTTACTTCGAAGCAAACATTGAAGAGTCAGGCCCAAACCCTAAATAAAGATCTAGGATGTCTCGTTTAATCCCCATGCTGGCTTCACGAGGGAGGTAACATCATTCTCATTTATTAGGTGAGGAAACTAACACTTAGATGCTGGTCCAAAGGCAGCCATTGTGTCCAAAGTGCCCCTGACGCTGTCCCGTGCCTGGAGGACAAGACCCAGGACTCCACTCACCCCGCCATGCCATGCGCTGAGGAGGTAGAGCCACCCCTCCTTCTCACTGGGAGCTGATCTTCCCCAGAGTGTGGCCAGGGCCATGGCTTGATGGGGGCGTGGAAAAGTGGAGGCCTCCCACTCAGGCTGGCTATCTGAGAAATCTGTGACCTGCCCGCAGCTGACTGCAGCATAGCAGCCTCTGTCACAACACGGGGGTGGCAGCCAAGCCCCCCCCCCACCATGGGGGGGCTCACCCACCTCTAGGCTGTGACCCTCCAGCAGCTGGCTCTTTCCTGGACCTTGTCCCCCCATCACCTGCAGGGGTCATCATCAACAAATATTGAGTTCAGCCCTGTGCCAGGAGCTAAAGGGACAAGGAGGCAAAGATGAGGCCACTGCCCTGGGTCCCAGGGGACAAGAGGAGGTGCAGCCACCAGGCTGCCTGGGTCTTTCAGGGTGGGCCACGCGCTCTGGTTCGCCTGGAGCCCTCCAGCTGGGGAGCCTGGGAAGACTCCTCCTTCTTAGCTGCCCCCAGGCCCCTGGGACTCAGTACAGCTTTGTCAAATCCACACAGAGCTAACCCTGCCTCTCGTGTCCCATGTGACTGCCTAACATGCCCGGTTCCTCCCCTGCCTGTGATGACAAACTTAGGGGGCATCTGACCCTGGCTCCACGGTTGGGCCTGCACCTTAGAGTCTGGCTGGGACCAGTGCCCAGGGGTCCCCGGGAAGGAGAATGTCTTGAAATGGACCCTGAGGACCCATTGGTTCCCCCTTGTCCTTGGCACTTTAGAAATGTGTGCAAGGGACTTCCCTGGTGGTTCAGTGGCTAAGACTCCATGCTCCCAATGCAGGGGGCCTGGGTTCAATCCCTAGTCAGGGAACTAGATCCCACACGCCGCAACTAATAGGAGTTCCCACGCCTCAACTAAAAAAAAAAAAGATCCTGCAAGCGGCAACTAAGACCCGTGCAGCCAAGTAAATAAATAAATACTAAAAAAAAAAAAAAAAAAAAAAAAGAAAAGAAAAGAAAAGAAAAAGAAATGTGTGCAGGTGGGAGAGATGGGTTTGGGGGAAATGAGGGCAATGGAGAGTTCTGGGTAGGAAATGCTTCCTCTCACCCAACCGATGCAGTATAATTTTATAAAACGTCATATTTGTGTATGTGTGTGTGTGTGTGTGTGTGTGTATGTACAGTTACGTAGAGTTTTATAAAGTTATATAACTTTATTAAAAGTTAATAACTGAGGGACTTCCCTGGCGGTCTAGTGGTTAAGACTCCGCACTTCCACTGCAGGGGGCACGGGTTCGATCCCTAGTCGGGGAACTAAGATCCCGCATGCCACGAGGTGCGGCCAATAAATAAATAAAAGCTCTTTAAAAAAGCTAATAATTGAGTTAATTGGTCATGGTAACCAGTTCCTGGCAAAAAAGGGCTGTTTCTGGTACCAGCTTTCATATTAGTTCATAAGGGACCTGGGTGGCCACGGGAGAGGCCCCCTGGAAAGGAGGGAAGGGGCTCTCAGAAGAACTGGAAGGCCTGACACCAGTCCAGAGAGAAGGGCAACCTGGCCAGAAACCTTTGCCTTCCTGACTGTGCCCATAGGTTGAGGCAGCATAGGGAGGCGGTGGAAGCGGGGGGGGGGGCAAGGGTCAGGAGGG